TCGGTACTATCGTAAGTAAGGTATCACCCCAGTAAATGTACTTGTGGTGTTTATATACAAGTGGTCAATGTAAAAGAAAAGGACGACTGACTTGTCCAAGTACTTGGCTGAAGCAAGTCAAGTCACGATACTTGGCAAATCCTTGATCAAGTACTTTATAAGGCAACTTGTCGCGTACTTTCCAAGTACCCATCAAGTAATTAAGTACTTGTACCAGGTATACTCACGGGGACGGCAATTGAAAAGCGTAGCGAAAAGTATCAAGATGTGCATAGAGTTTTCAAAGAGCGTATGGACAACTAGCTTGCTAAAACATGTATGGAAAACTTTTTTTCTCTGAAAAAATTTTTAAAAACTATCGATATCGAGAAAGCAATAGATTTGCTGCAAAACGATTTCGTTTTCTTATTTGAGACTTTGTTGGAATCAAAGGTGATGCTTAAAAGCAAATATTTCAGTAACGAATTATAATATTATAAATATACGACGGTCATTATATTTTAGTGGCCGCACAAAAACCGAAAAGTAACTGATGTGATAAAAACGGTGAAATAACGGCCTCTGTTAGCGAGTCGTTTTTACGCCATTTAAGATGTTAGCTGTTTTATGTTTCTCCACTTGATGGTTTTGAGGCACTCTTAGAAAAATGGCTTTTGTAGGGGTTGTAGAGGACCGAGAGCTTAAATCGACTCATCGAGATGTTATTTTCTGAATAGTGCGGCGATGCTTATGATCAATTTTTTAGCCCTGATTTAGGATCAGATGTTTTACTTAAACATCTGACCCTTAGCGCTTGATTTTTAAAAGTACTTTAACCTTCTTTACACCGAAAGTTAGACATTTATTTTATTTTGTATCAAATTCTGATGGTAGAAAATCAGTAAAAGTTCACTTAAAACTGTCAGATTTTCAGAGGTCATGACTTTTGAGATTCTGCATATCACATTCTTCATTTTTTCCAGAAATATACTGATTAATCTGAAACTTATTTCTTCTGTTTAAGGTCTTCTGTTTTCAGAAGGAGGACAGAGGCGAGGCGACAATAAAAATAGCTAATAAAATGGGTCTATTTAAAATGGGAGAGTAAAATTGAGTCCTAACTTAGGACACCTAAGTATGCAGAAAGTGATCCGTGAAATACATTTTTGTCTTGCAATGATTGTTATTTATTAAACCTTCCTTTCAAAACGCGCATGATCCTCAAAGCCTCAACTAAGGTTTTCTCAATCAACTTGACGAACTCTACAAGTTGGGTTGGTTTTGGTATGTGCGCACAAATGTTTGTCATTGTATGCTTCAGATTAATTTATCCGTGCGACTCCATCCATTCTTATGAGTAAAGTTTATACTTTAAAATACAACTCAATTCTGAATCAACTTTTCATTCCATCTCCTTACTTCTCATGCAGTTGGAGAATGGTATGATTGAGTATAATATAGAAGATATAATAAATTGTTTTAGTGTACGGTGCGACGTCAGTACTTATTTGTGTGTTCTAATCACTATCATTTGTATCAGTAAGTTGTATTTCTTCATTGTTGTCACTATTTTCTAAAATATCTCGTAATGCCATTATATAGCTGAGTGCCATTTGTAATGTTTCATATTTTGAAAATCGTTTACTTTTACATATTGATGATGGTAAAACGGTGCGAAGTTCATCGAATGCCAAATTCAATCCACTCATACGTCGACGTTCTCGAGCATTTGCTGCCACACGACGTTTGCGTTCAACCTGTACAGCTGAAGTGCACTTCTTTCGATTTGTTGGTGTGTTATTAACATAACATTTTTTCTTCACAGTACTGTTTTTGTCGTTATTAAGTTTTTGTCGTTTTTTATGACTATTAGCTAACTTAACTTTTTTTTCTACGGGACATTGTGTTAATGAATGATACAATGTTTCAGATGAATTATGATATGTGTATTCAGTGTAAATACTCAGTCCATGTTGTGGTGAATGATAATTATCTTCTTCCATTTACAAATATCAGTTAAACAACCAGCTGAAAAAATTTAAATTGAGAAAAAATATTTCAAAAAAGTTTAGTGATAAATACACTTTGGAGAAAAGAAAGTAATTACAAAGTTAACATATTGGTCCTGGATATTAGATCTGCGAATAAGTTTTGGATAGCCAGCCCGTTACTTACTTATGTTTTTTGCCTAGACAGGATAGGTAAACGAATTTCAAACATTGTGTTTGGTTACAAATAATCTGATGATTCAGTTTTTGTAAATGATTACTTTTGAAAATTTTTTTCAATAAAAGTAAAGTTGTTCTTCTTTGTCGTCAATAAGTCACCAGAGAATCATTTAAGTATATTAAATGTGCATATATATATATATATATGAGTAGATGAATTGCTTTCTTTTCCTATTCTTCTTCTCATATTGTTCATACCATTTGGAAAGCGTGATGAAAACGATAGCAGGGCATCATTCATCGTTCTAAAATTTGATTAACTAATTAGTTATTTTTTTACTTTTTCTTTACACAACATACGTACATACCTCACATTGAGATAGAGAGAAATCAACCTTGAGTAATGAATATGAACTGTCAAAATATTCGTGCATTGACATCAGTAGCAGCAAGCGGCAATTTGAAACATAACAAAATTTAAAGATTTTAATCGTATTCATACAATTGTTATTAAGAGTCATGCCGACATGAGAATAATGGAAGAATAACATGCACTCTTTATCATCGATCAATACAAAACAATGTGTCATTCTTGTCTATCAACGCGCGAAAGTAGAAGGGCGGTAGAAACAGTGCTCTTATCTCAGTATGTCATTCATTCACAGAAAACAAGTATTTACTTTATAAGTGACTTTTTTCATACATAAAATGACCATTCAAATCTCCTATTTAACAATCTTAGAACCTTAGAGTTGAATTATTTTGTACTTTTCACAGCGGCCATCGATCGAATCTAATTTTTTGCTAATCTAATTAGAATAATCAGGTTAGTATAGAACTTGATGAAGAAACCGACTTTTTTTAATAAAGTATCATCGCAAGAAGAAAGATGAACGCTATCGAGATGCAAAATTTTTATTGAAAAGGGTTCCTAGTTAGGCGTACATCGATTCAATTAGAACTGAAACCCATCAAAACCATACGGCTTAGCCAAGTAATTCTGCTACCGTAGTATAATTGCGTCACGTTTCTTTCATTATATTTCTCCTATAATTCTCTAATGAAAATACGTCCGAATCGCTACAATGTCTTATACTTAAGAGAAAAGTGTGCGGAATATGCTGAGATTTTCGCACACTTTATACGTCCTTTTGTTTAGGACCTATAACAAAAATACGAATTGCTACCTTTTCAGCTGAATTTTGATATAAGACGTTGCAACGCTATGAGCGTGTTTTCATTAGAGAAGTATAAAAGAAATAAAATGCAAACATTTTTTTTTGTGGTACTAACAGGACCAATACTGATTCACAGTTAATTGCATAATAAAAAATAAAATAAAATAAAATGCAAAAAACCGTGACGGATTTACACCGCGGTAGCAGAGTTACGTGGCTAAGCCGCAGAACAATAAGAACCGATACAACTTGAATAAAAAACCTTATTACTCTCCTCGACAGTCCTTTTTTTAATTGAGGTTTGGTGATCGATATCTGTCAATATAGGATCGGTTGGTCATTTGGTTGATGCTTGTGAGTATCGCGTATATTCACCTGAACTAAACATATTCCAAAAGCGGTAGAATGCACGCACACATAGTAAATAGCAGGCAAAAGGAGCATTTTTATTATGTTTTGGAAGTTGTCAAGAATTATCAGGAATTATATATATTATTAAGCTTTATTTAAAAATAAAGAATTATCAGGAATTTATCTGCAATGTCTTTCAGGGTATTTTTGTTTCGTCGACACTAAATTCTTGCTCGATTCATCGACACCTTTTTTATCTTGATTCATCGATACTACGCTTTTAATCAATTAAGCTTGATTCTTGTTTCGTCGACACCTTTTTTATTCGCGGTAAAACATGGAATTTTACTTTATATTTTTTTATTTTTTTAAATTTGAAAAAAGTTGATAAAATTCAATCGAAAGATCAATTGAGCAAGAAGATCAACTTTATCAAAACTAATAGTGTACAGAAAACAGTTGTAGTTCATAATAAAAAATGTATAAATATACTTCATACAGCGATATTGAACTCCCAAAATCATCTACTTATCAAGAATGCTACCTATTACCTACATTTTACTCTACAATATGTTTTCCATAGTCGACAGCAAACGTAAAATAACAGTCACTTAATAATGTTGCTCATCCCGGTTTTTATACATTTATCTAATCAATCCAAAATGATCATGCATATAATATAGCCTTGAAAAAAATTTGTGCAAAGAAAAATAGTTTATCGCCACCTAAGAAATCGTATGCTAATAGTAATCATCGTCTACATAATTCAGAAGATAGATATAAACAAAATAGTGTAAATTTAAATGACTTTTTGTGTAAGGTATCAAAAACAAAGCTGTTGAACAAGTTTTGATCTTTTTGTCAAATGTTTTTCAAGCACTATATTGTATGCATGATCAGTTTGAAATAAATCAAGCTTAATTGATTAAAAACGTAGTGCCGACGAATCAAAATAAAAGTGTCGACGAGACAAGAATGGATCTGTCTTTCCCAATCCCTTCTGACCTTTTTTGATCAAGATTATTTTCTCAACATACAATCATAGATTTCTTCATTGCGAGAGCTATTTCTTATATTATTGTCAGATAACCTGAAGAAACAAAGAATCATCTGGCAGGTACAAACAGGCATGCCATATACAATTTACGGCTCAACAGGATTCTGTAGCACTTTCACCTAAAAATTGAAATCTTTCGATAAGTATACACACCTCTACCAGAGTTAGCAGACCTATAGAATATCCACCAATTGATGTTATTTTTCTATAGGGTAAGCGTTAGGTGAAAGATAAGATGAAGGTCGCCGGAGGAAAGTCCATGAATCCATCATTGTGTGTTGAGAAAATAACTTTAATCAAAAAAGATCAGAAGAGATTTTTTGATGTTTTTCGATTGAACAAATTGCTTAGTTCTCCGTTTCCTTTTCATTCATCTAAATAATTATAAGTTTGATGATCAAAACTGACTTTTTTGGTGATAAAAAAGTATTCATACCCTTTAATTTATTTATTTAATCTTTTTCTTGTTTTACATAAGAAGTTTAAGAGATGATATAATGGAAATTATCTTTCATTTAAGTATTTTTATTGCGTGCATAAAAATTGGTATAATTGTCTTGATATTTCGACTTTCTCACTAGAGTTTTCAAGAATGTTATTAATTGATGGTCAAACGAATGGTATTGGATAGTAGCTATGCGTCATATCTCAAACTATCTATATAGGATTGGTTGAAGTTCATTTAGTCGAAAAAATACATTTGTTATATAATATGTATATTATATTGTATGTTAAATTATAATTTAGAGGGTCTGTTTCAGGCGAAGATATGTTCTGTAACTAACTTTTTTTCTCTCTTTCAGTTGTTTATATACATCTAATAATTGCATCAAAGAGTTCAAAGACACTATAACACATCGTTTGTTTATATAGTACTCATTAATTTATAACGACACATCTCTTTGTTGTTTACACTAGACAAGGCAAAAACAGAAACAAAAAGAGTCATAATAATAAACGATCAAATGAATTGATTAACGGTTCACCAGTCGTTCATACTGTGTTTTTTTATTATCTAATCTGACAAGTCAGTTTGGAAGTAAATCTATAGAAAGAATAGAGATACAATTTGTATCTATTGTTCGATGACAAATATGCCTTTTTTTGGTACACCAACGTAAGTTAGTTAGATTAAATGTAATTTTCGATTTGTCTTTTGTCAAAACTTAACTACCCATGTGATCAAGTTTTGCCTGTTTAGAAGTGAATTTCAAATCGGACATTTGAGACAATGCTCACAGTCCGCGGCCAATACTAGATTTCGCGCGTGGATTTCAAAAGAATTTTTTTTCGATAGTTTACGTCGTGGACAGGAAAATTTTATCACATGGTAATAAGTCATGATTACACAGACAACTGATAATACACGCTTAATGATACGAAAGATACACCTTGAAAAAAACTGCAGCTCTTGGTTACCCTATTAAGTTACAGTGAGTAATAGAATGAGATTATCTATTCATACTCTTATCTTTCTTATCCTTCAAGGTGCTGCTAAATTAAGTTTCTAATTTTGGACGCCTCTTGTAAGCAGAGTGCGCTTTAATACAGACTTGAACTTTGCTTTTGATGAGGTATGACTTTCTTATGTCACTTTACTCTACCGCTATCACTTGTATTGTTGCCCTTTTAAGTAGTGAATAATATGTGACATATTGTTTCATTACGTCTATTTAAGGAAAAATAGAGTATGTTTCTTCCTATTCTTCGTGTCAAGTCCAAATACATCTGCAGGCAATCCCTTTTCTTCTATATAAATCTCATATCTATTGTCTATTTCAAAAGGGAATAGAGAGAATCAAGTTGTACGTATCATATGAATATAGTGCAGTCACAGACTTATAAAAGTTGACCAATAATATGGATTAAGTTAAAAGAATCATGTTATAAACTTTTCAAGTGATATGAATTGCTATTTTAAATTGGGTATGTATTTTTTTTACCACCAAAATTCTTCGGTTTCATCAAGAAATTTTATTCTATCGAAATGATCACCAAAATATAACACTTGATCACCGAATTAATTAACGACACAAATAAGTTGCCAGACAAGATGATATGGCGTGTTGTTGCATTACGTTCGTCTTCTTTATGTTCATGTGCATTTCTCGACAACTGTGACTGATTGTACATCATTATCTGGTATGATTATTTGCAGTTCAAAAAGAATACAAAGGGTAGTTTCTGTGCTCATCACATTTGAATAAATGCTTTGTATGATTCTTCAAATCTAATCGACGACGTTGACA